AGAGCATTAAATATATTAACTGGCAAAATATTTGTCTCAGCACCTGTATCTAGCTGGAATTTAACTTTGAGTCCTCTCAAATTTATATTGGCACACCACCCAGTAGTTTCCACTTGATCGTCACCCACACTGTGGCAAGATAACACTCCTACAAGCAAGTTGTGCACATCTGCTTTTGAATTGTGGAGGTTTTGGTTTCCACTGTCTCTAGCTGTTTTACATAACTTGGCAAGACTGTTTTTTCCCCACACTTATATCTTGCCAAAAGCAGGGCATTTTTGAAACCTGTGTGTTGTGCCATAGCATGAACAGTTCTGTTCTCTCACAACACCATCTCCATCTTCAGGGCGTGCCTTTTGCTGTCTCACTGCTTGCAAATGAATCTCCTGTCTGGATAACGCAGATGCCTCACAGACCTTTCAAGGAGTTTGCCACTGTTTGTAATTGAGAGGCCAGAGCTTCAGCAACCTGGCAGAGTTCAACAGCCTTTTTCAAGGTAAGGTCAGTTTCTTTCAAAACTCTTTAAATCTGTCCGGAGCACTAAAGACCAGCTTATCTCTAATCAGCTCCTCAGAAGTCGAGCCAAATTCACAGCTGGGAGCCTTTAGTTTGAGCTCAGTTGTAAATTTTTCCACTGATAAGTCCAAAAACAATAACGCTCAAATATCAAATTCTTCTGAGGAGTACAATATTTCTTATACTCCTTAAGAACCTCACTTAACGTCTTGGGCTCTCCCTCCTCAAAAACAAATGTGTTATATATCCTCACGGCATCCTCACCAATCACACTTAGCAATATAGCTATCAGTCTCTTGTCTGGAGCATTATCTGTAGCACTGGCAATTACATAAAATTGGAAAGCTTGCTCCCACATCTTCCAGTTTTCTGCAAGAAAACTTGTCTCGATCCAGCTGCATGTGAAGAACATCTGTGAGAGCAACCAGAGCTGTCTCCATCCCATGGTCAAGACAGAACCCAGACTGGAAGGGATCCAAGGTTGAGGTTTCATCCAAGAAAGCCTGGAGCTGCACCACTGCTGCTCTCTCAATTACCATTCTCAGGAATGGTAAGTTTGATACTAGGCGGTAGTTGGCCAAATCACTAGGATCTAAAGATGGCCTCCTTTAGACTCCCCAAGAAGACACCTGAGCTCTGGGACAGATTTATAATGTCCACCAGAGGAGCCCACATTCTGTCACCACTGGCCTTAACGAGCCAAGATGGACACGGATGAAAGAGGCAAGTGGTGGGCTTCATAGCACCCATAATCTTGTCTATCTCAGCCCATGAGAGCAAGCTGAATTGGTCCAACACTGGACCTGAAGATGGCCACGGGGCCTCTAGTTCACTTACTGTATCAACATTAGTGGGCAGATCCTGGCAGAGCAATAAGGCTTTATCCATGAAAAAGCTTGTAAATGTCTCACAGCTGATAGCCAAATCACTAATATTTTGAGGTCTTTCTGTGAGAGATGTTAAAGACTGAATTACCCTAAACAATTGTACTGGGTAAGAGCTAACAGATGCAATGAAGGCCATGAAGAAGTCCTTCTTCACTGCTATCTCATAGGCTTTCATAAATGGCCTATAAGATGTTCTTGCAGCTTCGTCACAACTCTGCTGCCAAGCTCACCTTAGCTGTCTGAATTCCCATTTCATCCTCCTTAGCTCCTCAGTATACCAAGGGACTATTGTGGCGTGGGAGCACAGAGGGCATCAGAGAGTTTTTGTTGATGGCTTCAGTCAGCTGTGCCAGTCTTATACCAGCTCATCTAAGGAACTACCAGGGGGAATCTGATCCTGCAGTGCATTCTGGAACCCTATTGGGTCCATAAATCTCTGCAGGCAAGCATAAATCAACTCACTGCCTAAACAGGGAGGGCTCAGGATACCCAGATGGGCCTTCAAAGCAAAGTGGTCCAACCACGGCACTTCCTCGGTATCAATTGGACTCACATCTAGCTCATGGCAAAGATCAAATCCAGTGTGTGGCCTGCTTGATGAGTGGGACCTGATACAAATTGGAAAAGTCCCAGTGCTGCCATGGAAGCACCAGGTCCACAGCCTGTGAGGAGGCAGCAGTAACCGTATGGTAAAGTCCCCCAGTGCTAAGAGTCTGGGGAACTCCAGTACCTAGCCCACCACTGTCTCCAAGTGGCTCAGCAGGGTATCTGCTGGTGCGTTAAGCAGATGGTACACCAGCCAGATAGCCAAACTTTCCTCAGCATTGCACACCAAGCAAACACAATCCATACTGGAGATCTTTTGCATGGGGAGTGCCTTGAAAGAGAAAGACTCCCATACAAAGACCGCCATGCCCCCCCCCGACCCATTGTCCAAGACTGGTGAAAGACTGAGAAACCTTGTAGAGCAAATTCTTTCAGGGTGACTGTCTCACCCTCTCTCATCCAGGTCTTGGCTTTTATTAGTAGAAAGGAGCCAGGAGTCCAGTAGCACCTTAATGACCAGTGGCACGGCATAAGCTTTCATGAGTCACTGCTCACTTCATCATATACAGTTAGAATGTGAGTCCATTGGTCCTTTTATCTTGGAGAGTGGAGTGATTTCAGATGCCAAATAACAATAGCAGGCATTGGTTGAGACCTAGGTTTCCTAGGTCTCATTACCAATGATGGTATCTCCACGCCTACTTACCCCTCTGTATTTTACACCTAATCCAATCAAGCTTGCTATTGTCATTCACCTGTTATTGCCACTCAACATCTGAAATCACCTTTATGAAGTTTACTAGGAGTAATGTTCATTGTGGGAAGAAATACAACAAGATCTAGAAGGAAGCTCCAGATGAGTGTCCCGACTGTGGCTAGTGGGGCAGCAGAGGGAAGCAGAAAATGGAGGGAGGCAAGCCATCTTTCTTTCCTTCTGCTTAGCTATATGGCAGGGCTGTCTCAAGTCATTTTGCTGTCCCAAGTGGGTAGAATGGGAGGACAGCCTCATGGTAACAGATATGGTTCTCTCCACCTCTGACTTATTTTGTGAGGGGGAGGGGGGTGTTATGCAGTGGCAGCTAAGGTAGAAAAGCACCTCCTCCTGTGCCATGTTTTCTGGGTTCCAAGGGTCTGGAAAGTAGTTCCATAGCTGATTACATGGTTGCCAACTCTGGGTTGGGAAATACCTGTAGATTTGAGGGGTAGAGCCTGGGGAAGGCAGGATTTGGGGTGGGGAGGGACCTCACTAGGGTATGCCATAGAATCCACTGCCCAAAGCAGCCATTGTCTCCAGGAGAACTGATCTTGGTAATCTGGACATCAGTTTTAATAGCTGGAGATCTCCAGGTGCTGCCTGGAGGCTGGCTTATGTTAATTTGGGCCTATGCAGTCACAGCTAAGGTAGAAAAGCACCTCTCCAACTGTGCCACGTTTTCTGGGTTCCAAGGGTCTGGAAAGTGGTACCATAGCCAATTACACGGTTGCCAACTCTGGGCTGGAACATACCTGTAGATTTGAGGGATAGAGCCTGGGGAGGGCAGGGTTTGGGGTGGGGAGGGACCTCAGTAGGGTATAATGCTATAGAATCCACTGCCCAAAGCAGCCATTGTCTCCAAGAGAACTGATCTGGGTCATCTGGACATCAGTTTTAATATCTGAAGCCCTGACTGCTACGTCACATTGGCTGTCATACAGGGGCCATCTCAGCAGGATATAAGGACACAGAGTCCACCATTTTCTCCAGGGGAACTGATCCCTGCCATCTGGAAAGCAGTTGTAATTCTGAGTGATCTTTAACCCTCACCTGGAGATTTGCAACCATGGTTTCCCCCAACAGACACTAAGGGGAAATTTATTTTACCTCAGAACATCAACAACAAACTGTTTAGAATGTTAGAGGGAAAGGCCAGTGAGGCCGCATATGCAAACGACCTCTGTGTTCTGAGGCAAAGGTGAATCAGGCCACATATGCAAATGACCTCTGTGTTCTGACTGGCTGTGGGGGGGGGGAGAGGAGCAGGAAACTGTTTAGAATGTTGGAGGCAGGACTCAGGCAAAGCAGCCAGTGTATAGGGAGACCCTCTGAATGACAGATCAGAGAGCGAACTGATTTTGGAGTGTGTTGGAATGTTCAGGGGAGTCCAGGACCAAAATAGCATTATATATACTGGAGGATATCTCTCATACTTTATGATACATTTAGTTGCACGCATGGCCTGGCCCAACAAAGTGACATTTACGTCAGATCCAGCCCTCACAACAAATGAGTTTGTTACCTCTGGCATAAGCCATGAGATTTTGTGTGTTTGATAATGTTCTCTTGCATGTTCTTTATGAGTCACTATACTATGATGACAAGCCCATGTGTTCAAAACCGCAAAAGCCAAAATAACGAAATAAATGCATGTGTTATTGATGAGAGGCCCTGAAGAGGCATGTATGATGTTTTTGTTCAAGACTATTTCCATCTATTTGTAATACACATAATAATTAACTTGCCATTAGACAGGTGCATCTTGAATGTGTGCTTTTTACATTTGCCTCCTGCAGTTTTCATTTGAGGCTTGGGTTTTGAAAAAAAAATCTTTAAAATAAATTGCTTCTCATGATTATCTATTCAATTTTCTGCAAAGCTGTTAGTGGACATTAGCTGCTGCAAAAATGGGTTCTAGTACACATGGAACTTTCAGGAATCAACCAGGACTATTTTTCAAGTGCTTGACACTAAATAGCAAAATGTACTTATTTCTCTGTTGTGGCATTAAATTCCTTTCATAACTGTGGAGACCTCAAAATAATAAGTGTATACTCCGCATCATTTGTCACTACAGGGTCAAGCACCAAAAAAATCAAAACATTTACCATTCTTAAACTAGGATTGCAGGGTTTGGTAGAAAGGGAAGGAACACCAACACAATATATGGTATAAGAAAATACTATATACAAAGTTTCTCTGAAACCTTTCAGTGGGGCCTAATAAAAATATCTTTCTGCTATGACTTAAAGAAAAAAAAGGTGTTTTCAGCAACCAAACTGACAGAGACTGATTACCTTCACTTTTTGAAGAGTGTCTTTCAACTGGTGTTCATTTCCTGGTTCAAGAGGGATGCCAGTGACACTATTTGCTTCATCTAACCATAAAATAAACTTGTTTAAGTCGCTCTGCAATTCTGTCAGGAGCTTTTGTTCTTGTTCAAGTCTGTGGTCATAAAAGAAATAACATTAATAGAGTCAGTTCATATGTACATTATCTAATTTTCAGAAATACTAGCCAATAAACCTACTTGGCAACTTAGTAGTGACCAACAGAAGTCGATATCAGTGTTTAACTTCAGAAAGGAAAATATTGCTCACTACCATCACTTCTTTAATTAAAGGAAGCCAAGGATTTATCAGTTAAAATGTTGGAAGCATGCAACCATCCATCCACCTTTTCAATTACAGTCCTGAATGCTAAATTTTATCCACAAAATTTGGACTTTGATAATAAAAGGGAAAATATTAAACATGACATATTCATATGGAACTACTAGGTTCCATACTACTAGGAAGCATGAACATTCCCCATTATACAAAAAGAATGTGTCCTTGCTCCCACAGAACTATCAGAAAAGTGTTTATGCACATGTCCAAGCTGAAGGAGTAAGTAGGGTTTCCAACTCTAGCTTAGGAAATTCCTGGAGATTTGGGGGCAATGCCCATGGAGGCCAGAGTTTAGGGAGGAAAGGGAGCTTTGCGAGGGAGTGGTGCCATATGTATCATTTGCTGAAGCTGTCATTTTTTTCCAGGGGAACTCATCTATGTAGGATGGAGAAAACCTCTAATTCCAGGAGAACTCGAAGCCCCACCTAGAGGTTAGTAACCCAGGAGTTTGACAACAGTCATATTTTATTGTGGGCCCTGAGATCCAGCTTGAGTTACAGTCTTATTACCCTAATATTGCATACATCTCTCATACTATTATTTTTTTATTTATATTTATTTATTTATTATGGGATTTCTATCCCGCCCTACCCAGTGGCTCAGGGCGGCTAACAGCATACAAATACTAAAACAATAAAATACGTTTTTTAAATACAATAAAAACTGGTGCTTCAGTCTATATAATCTATACCATTTACAGATACTCGGCGATTATTTGCTGCCTGTGATCTTGACAATAGAAGCGTCCCCGACGCAACGAACTAATCAACCTCCATGGAGTCTGGTAGAAGGACAATACAACGGCGGTGGTGA